ATATATTGAGATTAATTTATGAGCATATGTTTGAAACAAAAGGAATTTAGTGCCACAAAATATATATTAACATCAATTATAAGCCTGACAAACTTTCTCTACTCAAGATATTTTTTTAAATAGCACTCTTCCCCTTTCCACTCTCCTTGAAGATAACCAGCTCTTTCAGATGACTGCATTATCAAATAGCTGAGGGCCAGGGATTTAGCTCAGTGGTGCCGCCACCTGCCTCACAAGCTCAAGGACCTGAGTTTGATACTGGGTACAACAACAACAACAAAAAATAGCTGAGTAAGTTAGGATTTCTTTGTGTTATTATACTTATACTCTTTTTCCTGAGACCATACTCTGGTCTTTGAAGGAAACTTGAAGAATATCCTACTTTCATTAAAAGAAAACTTAGTTCTTAGGTTAGATTAATTCTACAGGTGTACACTTTCAGATAGCTACTTTTATTCATTGTGTTTCATTTCACTGCATTTTCAGACATTAGCATTTTTCTACCTACTATGATCTGGATGTGGTTTGAATATCTCCCAGGGGTCACTGTGTTGGAAGGTCGGTTTTCAGGGTGACATTAGAAAATGGCATGAAACATTTAAAAGGTAGGGACTAAGAGGGGGTCCTTAAATCATCAGGGAGGCCTTCAGAAAGGATAAGGTATCTCTCTTAAGACCCTTCAGGTCTCACAAAAATATTATTATAAAAGAAGCGAGCCTGGGCCCTCACCTCTGTCTGCCTCCTGGTTCAAAATGTGTTCGCTCTCCCACCTGTGCTCTGCCATCTGCCCCTGGGCCCTTGCCAGTGCCTGCAACTATGCCATTTGAACTTGGAACCTACAGAACTGTGAATTAAATAAACCTCTTTATTCCATGGGTAGCTTATGTCTGGTATTTCATCCTAGTGATGAAAAGCTGAGCGATACATTATACTTACATTCAAATTCTGAAAGCATCTTTCCATAAGGCACCTTTCCTCCTTTTTTATAAGGTATATAAGTACTTGACTGATATAGTATTAAAGGAGATGGGCACATTGATAGGCTTTGTCAGTCAGGTTTTAGAAGCTCAAATTAAATGGCCTGTGAAGTTTCTTACATTTAATGAAGAGTCTATGGTTAAGGTAGAATAGCCTTGGCTGCTAGAAACATTTCTCTTTGCCTCTAGCACCAGTAAAGACACACACAGACCGAGGCAGATCAGTTTTTACATGTACTAAAAAAAACCACAAAGAATAATATATTTGAACTATGTAAACATCCCCACCCCTTTTATAATAAACAAACCTCTCTAAAACCCTGGAGCACTGACTCCATGAAAAGACTAGAAAGAGGCTCAACATAGTATTGTGGCAGGTCTGTTGACTCAGATTCTATATTTAGAAACAGATGAAGGTAGATAAATGGCAGCAACCCTTATTTGATGGATTGATTTCAAAATGGAAGAAAGTATTTAGTCAGACTGAAAAGATTAGAACTCTACCCTGCCCTTTTTTATATTTTTAAATAGTTATTTGTGTGAAGATATTAATGTATACTAATAAAATTTGCAAATGATAAACTAAAAAAGAATCTAGTACAACTGGATGACATTGAAGATTGAAAGTTTGATAAGCAGAATGATAGGTTAAATTTAACAGACTAAAAAAGCAATCAAATTAAAGACTATTTCCTAAAACACAAATAGGCAAGTACCAAATAGATGAACACAGAAGAGTTCAAGAGAGCTAAAGTGTTAAGAATTTCAACTAACTATGAGAAAGAGAGAGAGAGAGAGAGAGAGAACAAATTAACTTAATCCTGGATCACAGGAGTAGTTACATTAAGTCTAAAACAAAGTCACTGACCCACTCCTCTCTACTGATCAGAACATGTACATTAATTCTAGATGACAATATTTAAATAAATATATTAATAAACCGATGTGTGAACAGAATAGAATAACCAGACTAATGAGTAAATCTTAAAACTCTGCCAAGAGATTAATGGCAGTAATTGAACCACATATATTTATCACAGAGAAGAAAAGATTTAGTAGAGGAAACTAATGACCACTATTTTCAAATATAAATCTTATCAGATATCCAGGCTACTCAATAATGAAAGAGTCTGTCTCTGGAGAAGTTTTTTCAAATAATACACTAAGCATAGACCTAGAATCACCAGCTGGAGATATTGAGAAAGATTCAAAAGCCTGGGACAATTCCTAGATCTCTTTACTAAGGAGGCCAAGGCAATCACACTTCAGTGGCAGTCATTATACCCAGTAGCCTGATCTTGGTTTCTAATTAGCAGTACCAACTTAAGGGAGCCTGAGGTTATTGGGAAAGTAGCAGATTCCATGTTTAGGGCAAGGAAAACAAGATAATCCTGAAACAGTCTAGCAAATATATGCTAAAGAATGTTGGGACATGACAATAGACGTACAAGCCAGCTTAAAAGGGCTCCCACTGGTCAAATCTTGGCCAATTTGAGTCCACAGATCCATACTGACAATAAATAAATAAATAAATGAATGAATGAATGAATGAATAAATAAATAAATAAATAAATAAATAAATAAATAAATTGGAGCTGGGCATGGTGATGCATGCCTGTAATCCCAGAACTCTGGGACAGGAGGATCACCAATTAGAGCTCAGGCTGGGCAATTTAGTCATTAGCGAGAGCCTGTCTCAAAATAAAAAACTGCTTGGAATATAGTTCAGTGTAAAGGCCCAACAATCAATCAACAAACAAATACATGAAGTAAAAAAAAAACTACAGCAGAATGCCAACTAGTCAATGTAGAGCTAATGATGTATATAGAAAAATCATAATTTTCCAAACATCATAGTAATAATTAATTTAAGCAAATATCATTAGTGAATGTTAAAAACTAGCCAGGTGAGATAACACACATGTATAATTCCAGTTATTCAGGAGGCTGAGACAGAAGGATTGCAAGCTCTAGGACAGCCTGGGCAATTTAGTAAAAGTGTCTCAAAAAAAAAAAAAAGAAAGAAAGAGGACTAGAAATGTAGCTCAATGATAGAGCACCCCTGGATTCAATCCTCAGTCCTGGGGAAAACATTACTGGGTGAGAGTTTGATGAGGAATAGGACATTAGAAGAGTTGCAAAGTACTCCTCTAAAAACTGCATATTTATTACAATAGTGTTATGGCTTGTATCTAGATGTCCTCTCAAAGCCTCATGCTTTTCAGAAGTGGCTGATGCTGGCACTAAGGGTGCCCCATCTTGGGTGTGGGTGGTATCAATCAATGGGCTTATAACATAAATAGAATATAAAGGGACAGAAAGCAGCTGCTTGCCATAGGCTATTTCTCCTCTGTGATGTCCCTTTGCCATGTCATCTTGCCTTGGAGCAAGCTGACTATGAACTGAAACCTCTACAAACTGAGCTGAAATAAATCTTTCCTCCTTTAAGTTTGGGTGTTGGGTATTTTGTCTCAGCCACAAGAAAAGTAACTAAGACCAATGATAAAAACAGTAACTTTACAATGAAGAAACCTAGCAGATTTTGCTTTTACCAAATGGTCAACGTTAACATCACCAATAGTAAGACAAACTGATATACTGTATCTCCTGTTGCAAAGCACTAAGAACAAATTGCTTCTGTAGTATTCCTACCCAAAAAAAGCATAACCTGAATCCAATCACAAGCAAACATCAGATGAACTCAAATGAAAAGGCATTCTGCAAAACAACAGGTTTGTGCTCTCTAAAAGTGTAACTATTGTGAACCAAAATGGTGGAGTAGTAACAGCAGCAAGATATGGTCTCTAAAAGACCTGGAATCCAGATACCTGGAAAATAACAGCTTGTTAAAGACAGAAGAAGAAGAAAGGAG